CAACACCAAATATGCTTACGTGTACGTATTTTCTCTCCTATTTCATTTATTGTTTTGATGTTTATGCTTATTATATGATTGGTGTTACATAGGGACGTCCCTAGTGAATTGTGTTCCAACTTTAGTTCTATTTGATTTCGGGCACAACCTTATCATTTTTATCTCTTGAGCTTAGCAAGAGATTCAGTAATGCTCCAGGGGAGCTCGATTATCCCTTAGAGGTAGAGATTGCTGATGATTGTGCGGGTATCGATGGTTCATCAAGGTTGTGTTCTGGAGTTATTCAGTGAGCGGTATCCGATTGATTTCGTTCCTATACCTTTGTGCGAGAGCAAGGTGATCGTGGGAATACATTTGTTGATCCTTAATGGGGCAATGATTGACCGCGGGCACCGTTTATTTTGGGTTCGAACCCCAAGTGAGAACTAGTTATTCATCGAGGGTGTTCAACGTAGACTGACTCTCTGTTCAGCTACGAGAGCCAGGAGATATCTACAACAGGGCTGGTCTGGTTTTGTAGCTTATGCGTTGGATACCAGAGCGGAGAAGAAGAGGACAATCGATGATGTGCCGGTTTTCCAAGAGTATTAAAATATGTTCCCGGAAGACTTTCCCGGAGTGCCTCCGGAGAGGCAAGTGGAGTTCCGTATAGATCTGGTTCTAGGTGCGGCTCCAATAGCCAAGACATCCTATCGATTAGCAGCGTTAAAGATGCATGAGTTGTCTATACAGCTGCAGGAGCTGTTAGACAAGGGATTTATCAGACCGAGTTGTTTTCCCTCGGGAGCATCGATTATGTTTGTAAAGAAGAAGGATGGCACCCACAGGATGTGCATTGATTATCGGGAGTAGAACAAGTTGACAGTGAAGAACCATTATCCGCTTTTGAGGATTGATGATTTGTTCAACCGGTTGCAGGGTGCGTCTTGGTTCTACAATATTGATTTGCGTTCGGGTTAGCACCAGATGAGGGTTCGAGTTGAGGACATTCAGAAGACGGTCTTCAGGATTCATTATGGTCATTACGAGTTTGTAGTGTTGCCTTTTGGGCTCACCAATGCACCAGCAACGTTCATGGATCTTATGAATCGGGTTTGTAGACTGATGCTGGATCGGCCAACCATTATGTTCATTGATGATATCTTAGTCTATTCCAAGAACAAGGAGCAACATGAGGATCATCTGCGAGAGGTTTTAGAGACTCTAAGGAGAGAGAGGGCATATGCCAAATTCTCCAAGTGTGAGTTCTGGTTGCACGAGGTACAGTTTCTGGGGTACCTTGTCAATCAGAAGGGTATTCTAGTTGATCCGGCCAAGATCGAGGCCGTGATGTAGTGGGATGTTCCGAGATCTCCATTTGAGATTCATAGTTTCCTTGGTTTAGCTGGGTTTATCAAAGGTTTATCGAGAATTTCTCTAGGATCATCGTTCCATTGACTAGGTTGATGAAGAAGTCTGATACGTTCTATTGGGGGCCTGGGCAACAAGAAACATTTGAGTCCTTGAGGAAGATGTTATCCAAGGCTCCGATCTTGAGCCTACCAGAGGTAGGATGATTTTGTGGTGTACTGTGATGCGTCGATTTCAGGATTGGGTGCGTTTTTTATGTAGATGGGTCGTGTGATATATTATGCTTCGAGGCAGTTGAAGCCACATGAGGCAAATTATCCTACTTATGATTTGGAGGTGGGAGTGAGATTTGGTGTCATTACTTGTTTGGGGTTTGTTATATCATTTAAACGGACCACAAGAGTTTGAGGTATCTGATGGATCAGCCAAATCTGAATATGAGGCAGCGCATGTGGCTTAATGTGGCGAAGACTTATGATTGTAAGATACTTTATCACCCTGGAAAGGTCAATATGGTGGCTGATTCTCTTAGCCGCAAGACGGCTGGCGCATCGATCAGGGATATTTGTTTGAGTATGACTGTGATTACCCCACTATATGGCTAGAAATCTTTGTTTTTCCTCTTGGTGTTTGTATATCTCACCATAACAAAATACATGTGTTTGAGATGGTGAAAATCTGTGATCAAACCCATGCAAAGAGTGAAAAGATGCACATATGTTCATATGATTTCAAAAATCGAGTTTTACATCTTCTTCTTCATTTATTTTGTGCTCTTACATGACAAAAAGTATTTAAACCATTTCTAGTACATCTTGGATGCTTAGAAATCGGATTTGTGGTGCAATCCTAGTGTAAGATTTGGTGGTTCCAAGGAGTTCTCTATCACATGAATGAAACACCCACTTTGGGGCCTTGGAATAACCCTAAATCTATGACTTGGATGAATGAACCTAAGAGTTTATTTTTCTTCTGTAAACTCTAGTTTATTGATATTTATCTTTTACCATAATAGAAGTATGCATGTTGTCTTTGTCAAAGTGCCCCTAAGAGGGCACTCAAAGCAACCTAGGATGACATGCATTCTATCAGAATATTTTGTTCAGCTTTGAACGGACACAACTAACTCATTACTAAACTAAATCATGATATTATGTTTTTGAGGGATAGCTCTATGAGTTAGCTTTCGAATCCAGTTGGTCTTACTGTAAAATATTAAAAATCGGATTTTTGACAATTTTTACAACATAATTGCGCAAACAGCACTCTTTCTATGATCATTAGTTTTGATTTACATGATCACGGGTCTTACACCCCAAATTAAATCTGGGGAAAAACATTTTACAAACTTAACACATCCATCAAGTTATGTCTAAAATTTTGTGGGTTAAAACCCCACAGAATGTTCTATAAAAATTCGTAAACTTTCAGCTACATCTAGAACTCATGCACTATATTGTGCTACATTGCTTAACATGTTGGGGTTGGATACCCTATTTTTTCTTCTAAATATATTTCGAATAAATTTGTTTTATGAAAGTTCATATATACAAGTGATGATCTGTAAAATCCTAAGACCTAGAACAAATTGCTTATTTTTCTATAAAAATAATGATTTAATGGCTATAAATTCAAAATAATTGTTTCCAGAAGAGATAAAAATCTGAAAATTTGCAGTAGTAATGTAATCACAGAATAAGAAAGACATGTAACTTTTCAGACGATTTTGACACTGTTTGGTATTTTATACATATTTTTCATTAAATTAGAGCATGAATTTACAAATTCGGGCCATTGGACTCAAAGACCCTAACCAATATTTTTCGCAACCTTAGGAACATTATAGGAGCCTGTAAAAATTAAATTGATAATTTTAGAAACTGTTTACCATTTATTTTGAATTTTATCCATTATTTGGGATTTAATTTACGAAAAAATATCAAATAACCTTCAAAAATGTTTACAAAATTTATGGACACCAATTCCATTTGTTAGAACCAGATAACCAATTTTTGTAATTTTTGGGAATTCAATTCCATGCGTTTCTAAAATTTTTAACACAATGTAATATGAACTAATGTTACTGATAATGAATCGTACACACTTTGGGCACTTTTACGACATCACTAGTTGGATAAGTAGTTCCTAGAAAATAGCTTAGTGGATTATATCTCACTAAAAACTAATTTTTTCCGTAGGACGCTAGTAGGAATCGCACTCGTCAACATCAAACCGCGAAGCCCGAGCCACAAACTTTCCATTGTGAGTATTCACAGCCCCTATTTTACGTTTTTAATGTTTTGGGGGTGGAAAGCATGCTACAATTTCTATGAACATTATTTTATGAACTTGTGCTATGAACTATATGATATGGACTTTGTTGTATGAATCTTGTATTATGAACTTGTACTATGAATTTGGTGTTATGAACTTGTATGATTAAGTCCCCAGAGAACCGGTACAACCTATTAACTCATATTCGAGCCGATGGTCTTATGGATAGCGCTATTTGGGGTCGATAGCCCCCACTCGCCCGGAACCGCGAGTGCATATTTCCATGAACTGACATCATGGGAACCATGGACATGATGGAATGGGGCAAGAACGGTCGTTAGGCTTGGTTGTGAACAGAATGCAATGGCATTCATCGTTATCTGAATTGGAACTTTTATAGAATAACTACATTTTTGAAATAATGTACTATTATAAACCTGTGAACTCACCAACTATTTTATAGTTGACCCTCGTTTTTTGCACACTTTTCAGGGAACGGTCAGTAAATCAATGAGACGCCAACATGATTTTAGTTGTTACTTTTGTTATGTATTAAACTATGTATTTGTTTTGTACGCGATGTAAACTTAAAACACTTAATGTTTATGGTTGGTACTCCTATTTAACTTTGTGATGAGACCTTAGCCTATCGCACTTCGTATTTCCGCTTTAACGGGGTGTGACAGATTTGGTATCAGAGCCTAAGGTTATAGAGAATACCGGCTTCCCCTTTCCCTTAGGGAGGTCTAAACTATAACCGTTGAGTTAATAAAACATGCCATTTAGTATAAGTAATTCCGGTAATGCGCTACTGGACCTTAATTATACATAGCCTGATCACCTATGTATAATTAAGGAAGAGTTAGTGCAAGACCGGAATTGATTATAGTGAATGGTATGAACACCCTAGGATAAACGTAAACATCAAACATAATAGAAATTTTCTAGAATGCTAAAAATTCATCTAAACATTAGAGTTTCTCGTATACATCGTAGCCATGTCAAACACTAGCTCTCAAGCACTTGGATCGGCAGATGAGTCTGGTTACGTCACTGCGCGCCCGAAAGTCAACCGCGACTCGAGCACCGAACCGACTGAAGATTCGTCTACAGGATCAGAGACTGGAGAGGAAGTGAGTAGCCAGGCACCGATTGAGGAAACTTCAGCCCCATCGATACCCGAGCCTTCGCGACAGCTGACGCCTCAGCCACCTCTTTATGGACTATACCACAGGAGGACAGCGAGAAAGAGCGCACCAATGCCGAGAGAAGTGTTGAGGTTTGAGCGTCCAGAACCCGTGCCAGCACCTCACGCACCAAGGAGTTAGCGTCCCAAGCCTAGTCAGCCTCGACCCCCAGTCATAGGGACACCTTATATGCGAGCACCCAGGATGACTTGTCAGGAGCGACGCAGCATAGAGGCCATGGCCCGAGACCTACATGATGCTCGTAGTAGGATTGCTTATCTTCATCACAGCATTGCCGACATGTCAGACGTGGTGGATGCGGTGTGTGGTTATGCATACTCCACCGAGAGGACTGCAATCAGAGCTATGATCACTAGCGCTATCGCTGGAGGGCTAGCATTGATTCTGGCAGTGGCACTTATTTGGGTGATTGTGTTTTGGGGTTGAATCTAAACGTCATGTTTTATGTTTTATGGTTTATGGTCTATGTATTTTGATGTAATGCCTTTGGTTTATGGCTTTTGAGAACTATGGTTGAAGTGTCTTTTGTAGCTTGCAGTGTCAAGCAATATGCGTTGTTAAACCTTTTATTTAGAAGCCACGAATGGAATCTATTTTAATGATTTTCACTCACCGTGTTATTTCACACTACTATTGTTCATGAACTTTAAATTGTTTTGATGATTTGAAATCTTTCTTGAAATATATTTTTATTATTATTATTATTATTATTATTATTATTATTATTATTATTATTATTATTATTATTTCTTTTAAAAAAAATTATTAATAATAACGTCCTTAATTTTGTTTGTGTGTTATAGAACCATGCCCCAAAGAAGAAACACCCGCTCACGCCCAACACAGCCTGAGAATGCCACTGCCGATATTGCTCAACTGGTCTCGCAACAACTAATGGCTGCTATCCCTAACATTGTGGCTCAAGTCACTGCGGGAATCAATGCTAGTCAGACAAACCGTGGAGGCCCTACACCTACTGAGAACACCGATGGAAGCGGAGTTCGTAATGAGGAAACAAGGGGATGCACCTATAAATACTTCATGTCTTGCAAACCCAAGGAGTTTCATGGAACAGAGGGTGCGGTGGGATTGTTGAAATGGATAAAAGTAATAGAGGCCGTACTCCACATCAGCAAATGCTCAAACGACTGCAAGGTTCCCTATGTTGCATGCATTCTCCAAGACAGAGCCTTAACGTGGTGGAATGCGCAAGTTCGGAACCGTGGAAGGGAGGCAGCGAACCAATTAGCTTGGGAGGAATTCAAAGATTTACTCAAGAAGGAATAATGCCGTAAGGATGAGATCTAGAAAATGGAATCTAACTTCTGGAACCATGCCATGGTAGGAGCCGATGTGGAAGGCTACACTGTGCGTTTCCATGAACTCGTTGAACTAGTGCCACACATGGTCACCCCTGAGAGCAAGAGGATTGACCGATACATATGGGGTTTAGCACCAGAAATCCGAGGCATGGTTACTTCAGCAAATCCTACCTCAATCCATAGCGATATAGACCTGGCGCACCGCCTTACGAATGATAAAGTGAGGGCCGGCATATTAACCATAAGCAACGCAAGTAACAAAAGAAAATCGGAGAACCAGCTGGGAAGGAAGAAGAATGACAACTTAGAAAAGAACAAGAAAAGGGCAACGAACTTTGCGGTTAAAACAGAGGAACCTGCGCAATACCGAGGGCCTAAACCTAAGTGTGAGAGATGCAGTTATCATCATGAGGGTGCCTGCCCTATCTGCCACAAGTGCAATCGAACTGGACATTTCGCGAAGTATTGCAGGATAGATAAAGATCGCAAGGATGGTAAACGAGAGTGCTATGAGTGTGGAAGTGTGGACTACTTTAGGAATGCCTGCCCGAATCTAAATAAGGGCCTCAATAACAACAATACTAGGAACCAGGCGGGACATATAAACCGTGGAAATCCAGGAGGCCAGCCTCGTGGGCGAGCATTTGTGATTAAGGCGGAAGAGGCCCGCCAGAACCCGGAGGTGGTAACAGGTACATTCCTCCTAAACAAACACTATGCATCAGTATTATTTGACTCTGGGGCAGATAGAAGTTTTGTGTCACATGAATTTAGACCCCTAATCGACTGGAAATCAAAAATATTGGAACATGCCTACGTAGTTGAAGTAGCTAACGGTCATGAAATTAAGGCTAGGGAGATAGTTCCTAACTGTACCTTGAACTTAGCTGATAAACTTTTTAGTATTGACCTTATACCCATTGAACTGGGAAGCTTTGACGTAGTGATTGGAATGGACTGGTTGTCCAAGAATCGAGCAGACATAGGATGCTTTGAGAAAGTTGTCAAAATACCCCTCCAAAACAACGAAACCCTTATAGTGTACGGAGAGAAACCAGGCAAGAACTTGAAGATAGTCTCATGTATGAACATTCACAAATATCTGAGGAAGAAGTACCTTGCGTTCTTGGCTTATGTAGTGGAAAAGAACTCAGAAGAAAAACATATTCAGGATATTCCAATAGTGCGAGAATACCCCGAAGTATTCCCAGAAGAGTTGCCTGGACTCCCCCCAACAAGACAAGTCGAATTCAGAATTGATCTAATTCCCGGAGCGGCACCTGTAGCTAAAGCACCTTATCGCTTGGCACCTTCTGAAATGCAAGAACTTTCGGGCCAACTTCAGGAACTTTTGGAAAAAGGATTCATTCGTCCAAGTTCCTCACCGTGGGGTGCACCGGTCTTATTTGTGAAAAAGAAGGATGGATCGATGCGACTGTGCATCGATTATAGAGAACTAAATAAATTGACTATCAAAAATAGATACCCCCTTCCTCGAATAGACGATTTGTTTGATCAACTCCAAGGTGCCTCGTACTTTTCAAAGATTGATCTACGATCGGGGTACCACCAATTAAGGGTACGCGACGAAGATGTTCCTAAAACCGCCTTCAGGACTCGTTACGGACACTACGAATTCTTAGTTATGCCTTTTGGGCTAACTAACGCACCGACTGCCTTCATGGATCTTATGAATAGGATTTATAGGCCGTACCTTGACAAGTTTGTGATCGTGTTCATTGATGACATACTAGTCTATTCCCCAAACAAAGAAGAGCATGAACGACATCTTAGGCTAGTTTTGGAACTGTTGAAAGACCAAAAATTATTTTCAAAGTTATCTAAGTGCGAATTTTGGATTATGGAAGTACGATTCCTTGGCCATGTGGTTGGAGAAAAAGAATTACACGTGGATCCCACCAAATTCGAAGCATTAAGAAATGGGAAACCTCAAGATCCCCGACGGAAATTCGGCAATTTCTAGGATTGGCGGGCTATTATAGGCGCTTTATTGAGAACTTCTCCAAAATTGCCCAACCACTGACTATTCTGACCCAAAAGGATAGAAATTTGTATGGGGAGAACCACAAGAAGATGCCTTCCAATTGCTGAAACATAAGTTGTGTAATGCGCCAGTCTTGGCATTGCCAGATGGTGTGGAGAACTTCATAGTGTATTGTGATGCGTCACACCAAGGTCTGGGTTGCGTACTGATGCAGAAAGGCAAGGTTATTGCATATGCGTCAAGGCAGTTGAAGGTTCATGAGAAAAACTACACAACCCACGACCTAGAATTAGGAGCGGTGGTATTCGCCCTTAAGATCTGGAGACATTACTTGTACGGAACTAAGTGCACTATTTATACTAATCACAAAAGCCTACAACACATCTTGGATCAAAAGATGCTTAACATGAGACAGAGGCGGTGGGTAGAATTACTCAACGACTACGATTGCGAAATTAAATACCATCCAGGAAAGGCCAATGTTGTAGCTGATGCGTTGAGTAGGAAGGAAAGGGTGAAACCCTCACGAGCACATGCCTTCGGAGCCCTTGTTCAAACCAGTTTGAAGAGCGAAATCCTTGCTGCTCAAGGCGAAGCGTTAAAAACTGAGAACTTGAAACGTGAAACATTGCACGACCTAGAACAACGATTTGAAACACGTTCAGATGGAGTGAAGTACTTCCAAAATAGGTTATGGGTACCAAAGATCGACGAATTACGTAAGTTAATTTTAAGGGAAGCCCATAATTCCCGATACTCGATCCACCTTGGAGCCGACAAAATGTACTTGGATCTAAAGGAATACTATTGGTGGCCTGGAATGAAGAAAGATATTGCCTTGTATATTGAGAAATGTTTAACTTGTTCCAAAGTGAAGGCCGAATATCAAAAGCCCTCCGGTTTGCTTCAACAACCAGAAATACCTCAATGGAAATGGGAGCAAATATCCATGGATTTTGTTACCAAGTTGCCAAGGACCACGAAGGGATACAATTCTATTTGGGTGGTGGTGGATAGATTGACAAAATCCGCACACTTTCTCCCCATTCGAGAAGATTATCGAATGGAAAGGCTTGCTTGAATTTACATAGACGAGCTTGTAGCATGCCACGGGGTCCCTATTTCCATCATTTCAGATAGAGATAGCCGTTTTACATCTAGATTTTGGCAGTCACTTAAAAAATCCTTGGGGACATGTTTAGACTTAAGTACCGCCTATCATCCCCAGACAGATGGTCAGAGCGAACGAACCATCCAGACGTTAGAAGATATGCTTCGGGCTTGCGTGATCGACTTTGGAGGAAGTTGGGATAACCTTTTGCCATTAGTTGAGTTCTCCTATAATAATTGCTACCATACCAACATTCAATGTGCCCCCTATGAGGCCTTGTATGGGCGTAAATGTCGCTCCCCGCTATGAGGCCTTGTAGGGACCACACATGCAAATTGACCCAAACCATAGTGACTATCCGTGTAATTTACTCATATAATGAAAATAATATTGAACCCAAATTAAACCCAAATTAAATAACTCCTATAAGTAGTTTTGCCATTGCTTATATTGACGATGTCCTAATTTTTTCAAAATCAATTGATCAACATTTTAAACATTTAAATCAATTTCATGATTTAATTTATCAAAATGGTATCAGAGCCAAGAAAAGTTTTTGGGGTGGTTATGCATGATATATTTATTTCAAATTTATTTAATTTGGGTTTAATATTCTCTAAGAAATTTATAAGTTTTAATAAGTATGATTCAGAGACAAGACCAGTGATTGGTTGGATTAGCGAAAAACGCACAGATAAGGACGTAAGTCGCGGTGCCGGACCACAATCATCGTCGGGACTATTCGTCTCTGTTCATCGTTATTAAAACAAGTAAGTTTTCTCATAGAATTTTAAAGCAAAATTAATTAAATATGAGTAAATTTTCAGGCATACTATCCAAAAAATATATTCCTGGTAAAAATATCGACAATGAACAAGATTATGATAATCAAATAAATTCTATTGAAGAAACCGTTAATAACATAGAACAAAGTTTGAATAATTGGACAATACCTAAAACTAATGTTAATACAATATATAGAATAGGA